TCAAAAAAAAAAAATTTTGAAATTTTCGTGGATATGTTTATTTCGTACATGGAATAAAAGAAAGGTGTGCCCCTGATGTTGGAAAAATTTTGTTTTTTTTTTAATCGCAAAAATTTTACAAAATTTTGACTTGAAATCTGATAAATTTTGAAATATTATCGAAACTTATTTAGTTAAATTTATAAACCCGCCGAGTTATAGCTGGTCAAAGCAAAAATTTTGTAGAATTTTGTCGATTTCAATAAAAAAAAATTTGAAATTTTTATGGATGTGTTTGTTTCGTACGTGGAATAAAAGAAAGGCGTGCCCCTGGTGTTGAGATTTTTATGGACCACCCTAATATATGTCCATTAGACCGTACCACAAAAGAAAGCTCGCCATACATCTTAGAATCGTAAGTTTTTTTGCAAGGCAATTTCGAACAAAAGACAAATTTTCTTACCGAAAGTAGGGATCGTCTTTTTAAATTTTTCGAAATATATTCGGGATTTATAGTCGGATCTTTAAGTACGCTACATCGATGTTCTTGTCTCGGGGAGAACATTTTTATGTTTCAAACTGCATTGAGCCAATTACCTGGACGTAGGCATCACCCTAATGCCAGTAAATTTAAGTATTTCGATTATTCCAGTAGAACTATTTTAAAAAATGTTTATATTACCGAACGTTCGGCAAAAAAAAAATCCAAATTGCCTTGCAAAAATACTTTATACTGAGGGGTGTACGGTGAACTTTGTTTTAGTTTGCTTGTAAGGTGTAACGGTCTAATATACATATTTGGAATCAACAGCTAGAAAGCAGCTTGGATAAGCGCTTAAAATCAAAAAATAACAAAAAAACGGTAATGTACCTAAGTCATGTATTCACCTCCATCTACATAAGTATGCCCAGTACTCAAGCCGAAAACTTTGATTTAAATCTTGTAACCGTGACGTGTCTAAAAATCAATTTATGCATATGCAATTGACTTGAATCATTCATTGATGGGTTATCAAAAAGTCAACACCAATTTTTGTATCGTCTTTTTCTTCTTCTTTGTGAATTTAAACACGTACCACAGCTCAATCAATGTTCGATCTTTGCAGGTTGAGTGCATTCCCAAAGAAATTAAATAAATAAAAAACGCAATGCGAACCTCATTTATTTGTATTTTAGCCTGGTGATAAAATTTTGTTAAAGTGAAGGAACACAATTCAGAATAAAAAGGCAAGTGCGGTAAAAATTAATTGAAGAAGCAAGCTTACAGAAAATCGCATTTGCGCATATACAGTGGACTTACGCATGTACATAAGTACACAAAAATAATAGACTTCTTTAAAAGTCAAGTCACGCGTTTCATTGATTCCATAGTAAAAGTGATAACAACTAAGTAAATATTTGGCACTTTGACAAGTGCGATTGACAATTGTATAGCAACAGCTAGAATTTATGTGGTTGAGTGAATATGCTACAAAAAAATCAGTAACTAAATAGTAGGGCAAAATATTGCATACCAACTCCCCGTCGCGCCTTGAAGGGAGATAGACAGCAATGTACCTCCGAAAGGTAGAGCTGAATGTCTACCTCCATCTAGGGAATCTAGGCGAAGCCGTTGTCCGTTAGAGTTCCTCTAAGAACATAAATGTCGTCGAAGCTCAGGCATTCGAAGAAGAGTGTACGAAACGATCATTGCTCATTGAATTCGCAGAGTATGGCCGATTCATTACTAGTTGGTTTCATATTTCAGAAATCTGTATTATTCTTAATATTAGCTTAAGTTCTATTATAAGTATACGTATTCGTCGTAGTTTTATTCTTGTCGGAGCTAACAAAAAACAACGTCTGCATAAAACAGCACTCAGTATTGTTTCGTCTTACTATACGACATCGTAATCGCCTTCGTATTTGATTTCGTATTCGTGCTCTTTTCCAATCATCCCTCTTCATCATAGTCTTCTTCTTAGCTTTAGCCTCAGTCCTTATATTCGTCTTCGCAATCGCGCTCCGCCTTCTTCTTTTTCATCCGCTTCATGTTCGTATTCTTCGTCGTACTTCGTATTCATCATCGTATTCGCCTTTGCCTTCGTTCGCTTAATCTCCGTTTTCGTCTTCGTGATCGTTATCGTTATCGCCTTCATGACTTCGTATTCATCGTCGTCTTAGTGCTATTCGTAATCGTGGTACTTTTGCACTTGTCTTATAATTGATTTCCACCAAGCCTTAACTGCAGTTTATGCCGTATGAAAAACGAAGGGGGTGATTCCACCTATTAAGTAGAAGCAAACGAAAGGAAAAAAGCAGTACTTAAGAAAAAAAAACCTTTCCGATCACCCCATGTTGGAATTACTTGAACTTTTCTGAGCTCTTAACTGCAGTTAAGCCTTTGGTGGAAATAGGCTATTAGCCTTAGTCTAAGTTCTAACCTTAAATTGCTGCATGTTACATTCCTTTAGTTCCTCTCAATATTAATGTATGTAGGTGGAAATCCAAAAAAAAAAAAAAACTAAGTCCAGATATGAGAGAGTTATCGTCGGCCATCGAAGCTGCCGTCAGGACCTGTTCCTCTCAACCTTAGAAAGTTTAGCTAAATAGGTGTGTGCTGTCATTGAGCAGATGGGATTGCAGACAACTTGTGCAATTGCTGACTGGCCATTTCTCGTGACACAAACACTTGACTGTGCGCGGTATACATGATAAACCCATTGAACTTCCTGCCTTGTAGAGGATGAGACGGTGAAACATTTTTGATGCTTCTGCCCGGCCTTTGCAAGACGTTTAGGTATAAGGATTTTAGCAGCGATGTACTGAGATGCTGCTAATATGCTGTGATTTATTCGTAAACCATGTATGTACATTTAAAACAAATTAAAAGAACATGAAAATAGTAGGATAGACGATGTACACGTGGCAATTCAGGATTAGTTTTATTTAGCCTACCTGCTAAGTAAATGTCAATGAATTAATCCAATTAAGATGGAATGATGATTTTTCTTAACAAGTCCTCAGATTGTTTGTGTTCAATGTATCACTTCCACAGCAGAAGTTCAACTTCAGTTCAGTGTTGCCGCATTAAAAATATTTTTCTACCAAAATGATCACACAAAATCTACCAGAGTTCTACCAAAAGTTTCATAAATGGTGGCAAAAGCAAGATTGACAATCAGCCCAATTCTAAATCATCCCGCTTTCTCTCAGCGGATTTAGATTCTCCCGAACTATTCAGGAAAATTATTTCTGCCTGAAATCAGATTGTGAATTTAGAAACGGCTTTTTCCAACTTACATATTTAGGCATTGGGCTATAACGCACCCGGTTTGACTAGAAGCGAGAGCTCGTTTTTTGATGAAGCGCTGCTCCTGGCCAAAATTGATACCAACTGCCACCTTGAAAAGTTATGTAGACCAATTGAAAAACCGACCAGAACTGATTAACAGAAAAGGGGTGTGCTTAGGTTCATTGACCACGTTTTTTCAAACCGGTTTCAATCGGTTTTTAACCGACATCCAAAAAAGGAGGAGGTTATCAGTTCGTCGGAATATATATATATTTTTTTTATATGTATGTTACCGCATAACTTTGGACCACGTCAACCGATTTCGATAATTCTTTTTGCAAAGTAGTGTCTCAGAGGTGGTCCCATACTAATTTGGTTTAGATCCGATCATTGGATAATGAAATATATATATGTTTATATATTTTTTTTCAGGTCGGTTTTTTTTTGCTAAGAATTACTTGTTTTTTAAATATTTTTATGTGGTTTTTGGAAATCCTGATTTTTTGAATATCGAGTAAAACGAATATTTACAATCGAATAATCCGGGTTTTCACCTGGTTTATTTATATATCAGAATATTAAAATTCTAAATATTTGTGTTATTGAGAATAGTACGGCAAAGAACATTTTCATGAATTTTATATCTGAATATTGGAAATTTTTCCACTTCAGAAAATTAAAAAAATTAAAAATTAAAAATTTTTTAAAATATTCTACAACATTTGGTCGAATTCTACCAAAACGGCAACACTGCTTCGGTTCATTGCTTCGCACGTGGTATGGCAACCGAATTTAATTGAGTGCTACGTCCTACGTCTTCTTCTCACCATACACCACAAGTGATAAAATTCTTTGTAAGCAAATAGAATATTGGACTTTGGCGCCACTGGCGACCGAACTTAATTGTGCGCATCCGATTTTCGTTGTCTGTCAGCCTTTTTGTGGCTTTCAAGTGATTTTATTAAAATTTATTTCATTTTCAATGTAGTGGAATGCATGCGCCCAGGCACTTGGATCACTTGAGGCGCCGCAATTTATTTAGTTCAAAGAATTTCATTGACTAAAAGTAGGAAAAATGCGAAATATAAATTAAAACTTCTACCGTTAAATTCTATAATATAAACCATATAAATCAAAGTTTCACACTTCAAATAAAGTTCATAAAAATTCCAAAAATGCTCATAAAAATTTTCAACATTTTATTCAGAAATTCTAGAAAATTTTCGAGTATGGCGTTTTGTAGCTCATTCAAGTTTAATCTAATGAGGTGCAAGTTTCAATCGGCTAAAAATATCGTTGATTTTTGAGAATTTTTTTTTTGAGACTGCTTTTGCGTTTTTTTTTTTATATAAAAAGTGCAATTTACAAAATCTGGTGTTGAGTTTTTGAAACTTGCACTTCATTAGACAAAAAACAAATTGAATGGGCCACAAAAAGGCATAGTCGCAAATTCTGAATAAAAAGCTTAAAATTTTAACAATTTTTTTTTTCATTTTTGCGAATTTTATATAAGGTGTCAAACATTCATTTATATGGTTTATGTGTAGAATTAACTATATTTTCATAAATATGTAATGAATGCAAAAAAATAGTTCATGAAAATAATTGTGAATATTTTATAAGAACAAGATGTACACTTTCATTTGTCACCTAGTGTATATTAACTTTGCTATTTTCTGTTTAAATTCCTAAAATTTGCAACAAGTGCTCGAATATTGTTATTAATAAAATACCGAATTCTTTTCAGCGCCACATCCAACACCTGCCAATAATGCTGATGGCGACGATAACTTCCGGCGTAATTATGCCGTCGAATATGGTGCACCGTTAATTACACCGCTAATGGAATATGTAACGCTCGAAATGAATACAAATTATACAATACGTTGTGAGGCCAATGAACCATTGCTCTGGAAAGTTACGCCTAATACGCCGGCACACGAAGTGAAAACATTTGATACCGGCGATCCGCAACGACCATTTGGCAGTATGCTCTATCTATTGGAGATATCATACCTAAATGTGGGCAGTTACTATTGCATAAAAGAATCGAGCGTTAGCAAGA